AATATACGAGATTTGAGAGTCACAAGCATTCAAACCACAGTACAGGGTAACCACTATCGGTCACTAAGTTAGACGGTGCACATATTGCTTTTGCCATAGATCGCATGAGGTATTGAGCAATGGGGTCATTTGGGCACACATTCCCACTTCCAGGATCCTGCACACTCCTCCTGAGGAGAGGAATGCAAGCTAGAAGTTGGTTGCATAACAACCATCAGTTTTACAGCTGAGTGAACTGTGAATAATAGCGCTTTCAGCTTCTATTACCAATCTGCCCCCAGGAGTATGATGAAACTGAGAAAATGTTTATGGGCTAGTAAATTTTTTCTACTAATTTGCAAGGCTATAATAAAACCCATGAACTTGATGGCCTGCAGGAAGCATAACAAGAATTAGGAATGTAGAGCAATTTAGAGCCATAAGGCCTCTTTAAGACCTACAGGAAATGACTCCCAGAAAACAGATGAATCATAGCATTTTAAACAGAGAATTAAGCTGCTAATTTAGCCAGCTATGGGCTAAGAACAAAATTTTCCCAAAAGAATGTGCGATTTCCGTCTCTCTTGCCTTAAAGAATACAATTAATGCATGTATGTAGGAAATAAAAGTCAAATTAAAGTCATGACTGGAACACCGTGTGTCTTACCGTGTAATACTTCTCTCCCTTTTAAAAGAACAGTATATACAGCCACATTCTGCCCCCTTGTGGCTGAAATGATTACTACATGCAGATGACACCGGTGCATTTTAGTTAATCATTAATCAGACTCCTGTAGAAATCATTGTCAAGTGAGGGACGCCCTGAAGAAGGTGGTTGGCAAGGAGGCCACTGTCGGAGCATGCACGTTTGTCCGTAGTCATCCTTATTCATGGAAACAGCAGTCAAGGGGGATCCTGATGTTTCAACAGATGCAAAGAAACAGCTGTCTCAGAAAACATCTCCATTTCTGTTTCCTACTGGACGTACCCATTTACAGCACAGTACTGCAAGTTATGATTACCTGTACAGAACAGTGATTTCTATCATTTCACGAGGCCACCAGTTTCCTCACGTTATCTCATTTAATCTCTAGCCCACAAAGTTATATCAGAGTGAGAAATATGTAGTAATGGCTACTGTTCTCCTGACTAGTAGATTGGAGCTGGGATTTGGATGAAACCCCCAGCTCCAGGAAAACTGTGCACTTTCCATGGCACAGCCTGGCTGTACCCAAATTTTGAGAACTGTGCGTGTGATGATGCTGACAATGTGTGCCTTTCCCCTTCTGTCAGGCACGAGGGCCAGAGTAGAGAAACAAACCACACGTGGGAGAGAAACAAGTGGACAGGGCACACAATGACCATCTACAGAGAAATGGTTTAAACAGACAGACATCTGCATGGCCCTGTCCTCACCTCCATACAGAAAAGCAGCTTCCCGTCTATTCTCCTTGGAGAGCCCTGGGAGTTTGGTTTCCAGGGCCTTCAGGGAAACTCAAGTTCTTTGTTTTCTCCTGTGCACTGTGGCGCATCTCTAGGTTGTTTGTAATACAGAATACAGTGGGAGCCGTATTCAAGTGGGTATCAAGCAGATCACCCAGGCAAAGGTGAAGAGAGAGCGAACCTATGCATGTTCGGCCACAAGTGTTTCCTCCTCTGCCCCGGCCAGCGGGGTGTCAACGGGGGCCACCCATCTGCGGGAGAGAATGAAAGGGATGGGGAGACACAAAAGAAGACAGCAAGACAGTGTTCTGATCAAGCTGCAAATTTTATTCTCCTCAGCAAGGCTTATATAGCATGGGAGGGGGAGGGGGCAGGAAGGAGGGAAGGGGTGCACGACGTGCCATACGTGCAGGTGAAGGGAGGCGTGCAAGTTGTGAGGTTGCAGGGTGTTGTGCTAGGTGGTCAGGGCCCATTGTTCTGTTGCTATGCTACCTGACCTACCTGACCTGTTCTTTATCTTTGGGGGCACCTGGTTTAGGGCAGGGGTTTGTTCTCTGGCCTAGCTAGTACTTTTCCATGGTCCTTGTTTGGTCCCTGACACTCCTCTGCAGATGTTCATTCTGCAGCTGGTTGAGTCTACAGACACAGGGCAGGGTAACTGTGCAGTTGGTTTAATCTACAGACACAGGGCAGGGTAACTGTGCAGTTGGTTTAATCTACAGACACAGGACAGGGTAACTGTGCAGTTGGTTTAATCTACAGACACAGGGCAGGGTAACTGTGCAGTTGGTTTAATCTACAGACACAGGGCAGGGTAACTGTGCAGTTGGTTTAATCTATAGACACAGGGCAGGGTAACTGTGCAGTTGGCTGAGTACAGACACAGGACAGGGTAACTGTGCAGTTGGTTTAATCTATAGACACAGGGCAGGGTAACTGTGCAGTTGGTTTAATCTATAGACACAGGGCAGGGTAATTGTGCAGTTGGCTGAGTACAGACACAGGGCAGGGTAACTGTGCAGTTGGTTTAATCTACAGACACAGGGCAGGGTAACTGTGCAGTTGGTTTAATCTATAGACACAGGGCAGGGTAACTGTGCAGTTGGCTGAGTACAGACACAGGACAGGGTAACTGTGCAGTTGGTTTAATCTATAGACACAGGGCAGGGTAACTGTGCAGTTAGTTGAGTCTACAGACACAGGGCAGGGTAACTGTGCAGTTGGTTTAATCTATAGACACAGGGCAGGGTAACTGTGCAGTTGGCTGAGTACAGACACAGGACAGGGTAACTGTGCAGTCCGTTTAATCGACAGACACAGGCAGGGTAACTGTGCAGTTAGTTGAGTCTACAGACACAGGGCAGGGTAACTGTGCAGTTGGTTTAATCTACAGACACAGGGCAGGGTAACTGTGCAGTTAGTTGAGTCTACAGACACAGGGCAGGGTAACTGTGCAGTTGGCTGAGTCTACAGACACAGGACAGGGTAACTGTGCAGTTGGCCGAGTCTACAGACACAGGGCAGGGTAACTGTGCAGTTGGTTGAGTACAGACACAGGACAGGTTAACTGTGCAGTTGGCCGAGTCTACAGACACAGGACAGGGTAACTGTGCAGTTGGCCGAGTCTACAGACACAGGACAGGGTAACTGTGCAGTTGGCCGAGTCTACAGACACAGGACAGGGTAGCTGTGTTTCCCCCATTATTATGTTATTGCTTTTCGGCTTTGAGTGTGGGCAGGATCTGTGACTTGCTTCTAGGCAGCAGAATGCGGCAAAGCCGATGCGTGCGCATGATCACGGGTGATCACACCGTGTTACATAAGCTAGCCGTTAGTCTCCGTCTGGCTGGAGAATCTGACTTTGAGGCAGAAATGATGACATGACAAGGATCTGGGGTGACATCTAGGAGCTGAGGGCCACACTGTGAAGTCCTGCTCAGTAACGGCAAAAAGCTGACTTTTCCAGCGGTTGTAGTCACTTGAGCCTTGCAGGAGACCACGGCCTGCCAGCAGCCGTGGGAACTCACAGCGAGAATCTAGACTTCCGACCCAGGGGATTGTCGGATAATAAACGGGAGTTGTTTCGAGCCATGATGCTAATTATAACATTGGTACTCAGAGGTAGATAAGCAGAACAATTATCTTTAAATTTCTTAAAATTTGGGGCTGGGGAGATGGCTCAGTGGGTAAAGGCACTTGCCACATAAACCTGATGAGTTGAGTTCGGTCCCCAGGACCCACAAAGAGGTGGAAGGTGTCTCTCTCTCTCTCTCTCTCTCTCTCTCTCTCTCTCTCTCTCTCTCTCTCTCTCTCTCGCTCTCGCTCTCGCTCTCGCTCTCGCTCTCGCTCTCGCTCTCTCTCTCTCTCTCACATACACACACACACACACACCCCAATAATTACACATTTTAAACATGAAGGATTTATAATTTGACTCTTGTATTTAAGTCTATGGCTGCTCCCTGGTTAGTCTACAATATGAAGGTGGGAGGCAAGGGTGGTTTCCTCTCCTCCTCCTCCTCCTCCTCCTCCTCCTCCTCCTCCTCTTCTTCTTCTTTTGAAACTGTCTCACTATGTAGTCCTGTCCATGAACTCACTGTGGAGAACAGGCTGACCTTGAACTCACAGAGATCCACCTTCCTTTGCCTCCGGAGTGCTGGGGCTCAAGGTGCCTATCATTACTCCCAGCCCCTTCTTACTCTTTTCATGAGTATGGCTATCCAGTTGTTTCAGTCCCAATTATTGAACTTATTTTTATCCCACTGAACGGCACTGGGAACAAACCTCTGTCTTTCTTTGGACTTTCTGTTAACTAATCTCATTGCTGCTGTTTAATTATTGCAGCTTTACAATAATTTTGGAAACGAGGTGGTGCAGATCCTTTACTGGTTTTTGTCCCCCCAAGAGAGTTCTGGACTATTCTAGGTGCAGATGTATCACCTAGAAATAAAAAGAAAGCAACGGCATTCCTTTGCTCCGTTGTCCCCAGCTGAAAGCCATCAGTGACCTCCCACCCCCAGGCCTGAGTCACCTGTCCCCAGGCCGGACAATTTCCAGGGACACACACCACACTCTCTGAGCGGTTACACGAGGTCTTCTTTAGGCCAGGCGAGAGCGGAGCCGTTACCCGGTTCGGCTAACACCACCTCTCCCAAGGGCTCCATAGCCCTCCCAGAGCGCTCCGAGGGCAGCCAGCGACTGCTCGTGTTCAGCGTGGGCTGGGTTCATGGTCACCCACACCCAACAACTTTAGCCTGGTCTCTCTGAAAGTTTTGCTTCCTGTCTGGTAGTCACATATTTTGATGCTGCGCTCCAAGCTCCCCATGTAACGTTCGGCGGCACACGTTAATGTGAGTGTTGCACCTTTAGGTAATTTCAGCTAGACTTTCCAGTTGCTTTTAGAGAGGGCTGTTCGGGGAAGGTAATCGGCAACACTCCCCAAATGGATGCTGCAGGTTCTAGCTCTCCCGGATGCCGTCTTTCTCCTAGGTCCACTCAAGTTCTAGACTCTTCTGCAGGCTGCACACAGTGTCCTCAGGGCGGTCACGGGACACAAAAGCGGCAGGAGAACTCGAGCAATGCTGAGGGACAGGGGCTCAGACCCCAGGAAGGCTGACGTTTCTGAGCGTCCACGTGTGGACGTAGTTTCCATGAGCTCAGAGCGCACCCCTGGTGGGGGCTTCCAGGCAGCAGCAGGCAAGCCGGACATGGTTAGCAGCGGCCTGCAGCAGGACGCTGTGAACTCAGGGCGTGCTGGGGACACACAGTTGCTCTCGAAGAGGGGGCTAAAGGCATGTGGATAAGCAGGCACCAGCTCAGTTTCTCAGAGTTGATGACATGGCTGGAAACACCAGGTCTCCTTCACGTTTTATTTTTGTAAAGAAAAAAGGTGACATGGCAGTTCATTCTTAAACTGTCTTGGACACCTTTTATTAACATGAAAGTTACAGTATCTGTACACATGCCTTACTCTTGTGCATTTCTGTTTTATCATCCTGTAGCACAGACCAAGGGGAAAAAATTTTTAAAGCTGGTAATGTACTTTCTTTCTTTTTTTTTTTTAACATAGCTGACGAAAATAATAATTAAAAGAGTAAGGCTAGAGGGCAGGCGACATGGCTCAGTGGATAATGGACTTGCCGTACAAGCATGAAGGCCTGAGTTCAGATCCCCAGAGCCCATGTAAAAGCTGGATGTAGCGGCATAGGTCTGCAACTCCAGCCCTGGGGATTGAGGGACAGGTGGCTTCTAAGCACTTGCTGGCCAGTTATTCTAATCAAAATGGTTCAAGCTCCAGGTTCACGAGGATCCCTGTCTCAAAAAATAAGGTGGAGTGTAGTGGAGCACTATCTTAGTTCAAGTTTCCATTGCTGTGGTTACACAGCATGGCCGAGAACAACTTGAGAAGGGAAGGGTTTGTTTTGTCTTATGCTCCTGTGTCACAGTCCATCACTGAGGACAGTCAGGGCAGGAGTGCCAGGTGAGCTTGTGGGGGAAGGAACTGATGCAGAGGCCATGGAGGGATGCTGCCGCGTGGCCTGCTCCTCATGGCTTGCTCACCCTGCCTTTTAATAGCGCCCGGGAGCAGCGGCTCAGGGATGGCACAGCTGGGCCCTCTCGCGTCAATCATCAGTCAAGAAAATGCACCAAAGGCTTGGCCACAGGCCAGTCTGGTGGAGGCATTTTCTCAGTTGAGGTTCCCTCTTCCCAGATGGCTCTAGCTTGTGTCAAATCGACATAAAACTCAACTGCACAGAGGGAGATACTCACTGCTGACTGCTGACCTCTGGCCTCTGTACGCACATGTGGACTTGCACACATGTGCACCCACACCCATTAATAGAACACACACACACACACACACACACACACACACACACACACACACACGAATGGTAGAGTGCCAGGGTACAAATCAGCAGTAGGGTTTGTAGTTAGGATGAGCCCTGGATTCAAGCCCCATCACCAAGAATAGGAGCAGCAGTAATGGAGTACATTATAAACCAGCACTGGAATCAGTGGAGAAGACACACATGTACAGCATCACTAGTGGACATGTGTGTCCTTATCTTGACTCCAATGAACTTCAGGAGAACATTGATGTCTAATATAAAAACACAACCAACCAACCTTAAAGCCCCAGTAAAAATGTACTTACATATGCATCTGTCTTAGTCACTGTTCTATTGCTGTGAAGAGACACCGTGACCACGGCAGCTCTTAGAAAGCATTTCATTGGGGCTGGCTTACAGTTCCAGAGGTTTAGTCCATTATCATCGTCATGGGAAGCGTGGCAGCTGGTATGGCAGCCGTGGTGCTGGAGAAGTAGCTGAAAGCTACACCCTGATTTGCAGGCAGAGAGGGAAGCACTGGGGTTGGCATGGGATTTTGAAACCTCAAAACCCACCTCAGGTGACACACCTCCTCCAACAAAGCCACACCTCCTAATCCTTTTAAACAGTGCCACTCCTTGGTGACTGAGCATTCAAATACATGAACCTATGGGGGCCATTCTTCTCTCTCTCTCTCTCTCTCTCTCTCTCTCTCTCTCTCTCTCTCTCTCTCTCTCTCTCTCTCTCTCTGTTTTTTATTAAGAGATTTTCTATTTATTTTACATATCAACCACGGATTACCCTGTCCTCCTTCCTCCCACCTCCCAGCCTTCCTCCTCAACCCACCTCCCATTCCCACCTCCTCTAAGGCAAGGTCTTCCCTGGGGAGTCAGCAGAGCCTGGTACATTCAGTTGAAGCAGGTCCAATCCCCTCCTCCCTGCACTAAGGCTGAGTAAAGTGTCTCAACATAGGCCCTAGGTTCCAAAAAGCCGGCTCATGCACTAAGGACAGCTCCTGGTCTCCCTGCCCGGGGCTATGGGGGCCATTCTTACCCAAACTACCACAGTATATGCATAAAAGCATGTTTGGGTTCTCATAAGTTGTGAGAAGCAGATGAGGTACTGAGTGAATGTGTTATTGGTATGAACATAGCCATTTCAAGGACCCCAAATGCCTCAGGCCCATGGGAACGGCAGAGCCTTCCTCTGGTCCAAGTTCAGATGTTAAGAATGATTGACCTTAAGCTAAAGTCAGTGTGTGCAGAGACTACCAACTAAAGCCCCTTCCTCCTGGGACTGCTACAGAGACTCTTACCCAGCTAACTGCCCCCTCTTCTGGCCTCCATGGGCACAGCATGGGTGCAGACAAAACACACAGACACATTAAAAAGAAAGAGAGAAAGAAAGAAAGAAAGAAAGAAAGAAAGAAAGAAAGAAAGAAAGAAAGAAAGAAAGAAAGGAAAGAAAGAAAAGAAATGGGCCTGAAGAAATAACTCAGCAGTTAAGAACATTTGTTGCAGCCGGGCAGTGGTGGTGCGTGCCTTTAATCCCAGCACACGGGAGACAGAGGAAGATGGATCTCTGAGTTCGAGGCCAGCCTGAGCTACAGAGTGAGTTCCAGGACAGGCACCAAAGCTACACAGAGAAACCCTGTCTCGAAAAACTAAAACAAACAAACCCAAACCAAAACAAAACAAAACAAAAAAAGTAAACGTAAAGAGTAGATTTGGGACGGTGGGGGCAGAGCAGTTTGGGAAGACCAGGGTCACCAAATCTGCGGTGGACATTGGTATGATTTGACTGTGACATAGCTCCCCAGGCTCATGTGTTTAAATATCTAGTCCCATCTGCTCGTGCTGTTCTGGGGGGCTGTGAAGCCTTTGGGGTGGTGGGGGTGGGTCCCTGGGGGCAGGTCTGTGAGTGTCCGCCTGACCCTACTTCTTGTCTAAGCGCCCCTCTCTCCTTCGGTTGCCTCTGCGCGTGCGTGCGTGCGTGCGTGCGTGCGTGCGTGCGTGCGTGTGTGCTTGGTTTCAGGGAGGAGAGAAGCAACCAACACAGATATGTTAAGGCTGAGCCCTGAATGGCTTCTCAGAGAACCAGTTCTAGGCAAAACTTCAGCTGTAGAGAGCGGTGTGGGCTCTCTGGTGTCAAGATGACATTCGGATCTGTGAAACAATGAACATGAGGCGAGGAGTCTGCTCCAAGGACCCTCACGTCGCCAAGACAGATTGACAGGGGGAAAAGCTTCAGCTCGCACTGAGAAGGAGCCGGTGGGACAGGAAGAATCTAGGGACTGTGGATCCCTGGTTCTCAGGCAGAGAGAGTGATCTAGTCTGTGACAGTCGCTGACGGGTTGATGTCAGCCAGTGTCTGTGGGAAATGGCAGTGGAGTCCATTGATGGAGCAGTGCCCCGCTGAGCTGGACTCAAAACAGCAGGAGGTTTGGAAACACCGAGGATAACATCAACCCCATTGAGGACTCCGGTGCTACGGGTTGCAGGAATATCATAAGAACTCAGCTGGTTATGGCAAAGTCACTATCTGAAGGGATCAAGGAATTCCTTCAGAGGAAGCCAAATTCCAAGGAGCTTTTGGTGTTACTTGGCTTGTTATATATCAGCTGTCTTCTGTTGTGAAAATCATGTGTGCCTTCATAGTTTTCCCAATTGACTTTTCCCTAAGAAGGGCTAACAGTGTGGACTGATCACTCTCTGGACACACACATTCCAGGTGTTTGGAGAACAGCCTCAGGAAAGGCTTTCTCTGGAATCAAGATATCTCCCTTAGCCACTTTCAAGGACTAACAGAAATAACAGTCCCACATGCTACTCTCCTGATTTAAGGTAAATTCCACAAGGAGACACCGCCTAGGTCAGATAGACCTTAAGTAACAGCTTTACACAATTTAGCTTGGACCCTCCTTTCTTACAGTCTCGCTAACTTTATAGATCCCTAACTTCTTACCTAACCACTCCTAGGAATATAGATTGAGCACATAAATTCCCCTTTTGATGTACTAACTGATGTTAGCTCTCAGCTGACTCCTCCCTTAAACCACTCCATTTTCAGGTCGTAAGAGAAAGTCTGACACTCACTGCCGAGGAAACTCTTACCTGCCTTTACGACCTTGCAGGAATTCAGGCCTGGGAACCTGGCTGGAGGGGAGGACTGTGATTGTTTGGGTATGTAACTGTAAAGCTAGAGACTGAAAGAGGAATTGGGAATTAAAGTGAACAGGAATTAAAGTGAATGGACTAAAGAGCTCGGTGTGTTGAGATTCTAATTTTCCGAAAACAGTCCTCACCATTCGTAGCTTCTCTCCTGAGCCCCTGGGATGTATAATATTAAGACTGGTCCCTCTAATATTATACAAGACAGGTTGGAGGGATGTAGATGTAGCGTGAAGGCAGGATGCCAGACCAAGCTAACACAAGCTCCTGGCATGCTGCTGGCAGATCGTAAGGAGAGGGAGGCCAGACTGCAGGGTGTGTGGAGGTAGCTGAGGAGATGATGGTGGATGGCCTGAAGCAAGTGGCAAGATGGGAACTAGGACTGGAGAGTGGTGGCCCGTGCCTTTAACCCCAGTACTGGGGAGGCAGAGGCAGGGGGAGCTCTCTGAGCTTGAGGCCAACATGGTCTACAGAATGAGTTCCAGGATAGCCAGGGCTACACAGAGCAACCCTGTCTTGAAAAACAAACAAACAAACAAATAAACATGATGGGATCCAGGTCATGTGTTGCAGGCCTGGGCACTGGAGTGCTGAGTGGGCCTTCTACAGCCCCAGAGAAACAAATCATGAAGGCATGAATGTGGAGTGTGCAAACATTCTCTACCGGTCGTACCTCTGTTCTTGCTGTAGTAATAAGAAAAGGGCAGGGGCTGGAAAGAACACAACTTAGTGATT